CACCTATTGAGCACAGAATGGAGAATGTTAATAAGCACCAGACTTCACGGGAAGGTGGTGGCAATCTTTGGTTATTAATATCCTAACTTATTTAAAATCAAAGATACATTTTCCAAATAGTAAAAAAAAAAATCAACTTTTGTTTGAAGCATTTCTTCCATCTTTAGAAAGTGATGCGGGTAGAACTGAGCTACTGTACTAGCAGCTGAAGAGTGACTTCAGAAGCAAAGAAAGCGCTATTAACAGCCAGCGCATACCCTATATACTGATGACGTCTTCAATAAACATAGAGGAGCACAGTTTATCCTCCATACACCAACTGCAAAAACAAAGACAGCAAGTCCTGCAAAGACAACTGAATGTTCAAACACATATACACGCATGTCCTCGAAGGGAAGCTGCTCCTAACGTGAAACACACTATCCACCTATATAACTTGGGCTTTAAGAACAGCTGTAGCTTAAGTGGGATTGGTGTGGTAACCTTGAAAGATGAAAAAGTAAAATCCAAGAGCAAAAGCAAAACAAAGTATGTTTAAAATCAGAAATAGGCTTTAAGGGTCGGGGCAAAAGAAAGGACCAATATCAGGCTGGGTCTTCTCAGTCAGCAGAAAAAGCACAGAGGATTAATTCATCACCATGCAAACCCTATGGCATCGTCTGGAATAAATTACCCAACGAAGCTCAATATAGACTAAACACACACAACTGGCCATAGAAAGCATGCAGACACGGTGGGAGAGAAAGCTTGACAAATGCAGAGAGGCTGTCCAGGTCAAAGGACCATGATAAGCTGCTACATACTATTAAACAGTGAGATGGATCAAATAACCTGCTCTGGTCTGAGTTAGCAGTACTTTAGGGTTTCCAGCTGATAAAGAGCAAACTTTGTGTTCCCTATGGGTTAAGGAGGGTTTCATTGTAGACCAGAGTTATGATTATTGATGGCAATGAGTCAGAAATGCTTCCAAGCCCACAGAAAAATGAAACATACTACTTAATATCGTGGAGATGGGGTAATATGGCAATCTTATTGAACTTGCAACTGGCTTAAAGTTTATCTGATTTCCTCCAGCTTACCAAACAGGCTTTGTAAATAAACCAAATTTATTTTAATAGTCTTTTTTATGTTAAAGTTTGATACAAAGAAAATATAGTTAGACATAACTGGATTAAAAGAAATATGTTTTTTCAAATTATTATTTTAAAGAGAATTCTCCAGCACATAAATGTGGCCTTGCTGTCCCATAATAGGCTACCTTAGAGTGACCTCACCAGAAAATGGTGATTTTTTTTTTCTATGTCTGTTTTTATGAGAAAAAATGTCTGCTCAAAAAAGGTGGAATGAAATCTGAAATTTGTAATTCACTTTTTGTCACTTTCTCTCAAACTGCACCAATGGCACACAGAAGACAGAGTTACGTGCCAAAACAATGACTTATGTGAACCAATGAACACTTAAAGGTTATTAAACCTCAGGAAACAAAATCTGTGTCAAATTCAAAACCTATTTTTTTATTTCATGCACTGGAATCTGGTGGTGTAAAGACGGAGAGGATGCAGGTCGACAAAACAACGATGTTACCCTCATATGTGCCAACTCTAAAGTTAAACAAGATGGGGGCAGTATCAGTCTTAGGGATTTTCAACAGATGCTAAATGAGTAGTCATGATAAAAGAAAAAATATTTAGGAAGAGAATTAATTGGATTTCTGTCATAAAACTTAATCTGACATTTTCAGCAATATGAAACTGACCCTAAGCTACCTGTTGACCCTATAGTAGATTACCCATGATGGACAGTGTCCTGCATTTTTTTTTTTACTTTTGTTCTCTTTCCATTCCTAATTCTAAGAAAGGAAGGAAAAAAAAAACAGTGGTTCGAGTCCAGTGATCTGTGTTGTCTCAACAAACTCGTCCGTTTTGTGTTCATGCGGAAAACGGGCGTAGGATTTGTGCCATGGTGGTGCTGGTGTGTTCTTGTTAATGTTAAGGTCAAGTTATACAATGAATAGAAATTTGCAAAAAAAAAATAATACAAAGAAAATAATAATAAAAGATATTTGAGTCTTATTAAGTACACCTTCATCCCCCAATGGTGTTGCTGTTACTCTGAGAGGACTTGAGACTTTTACTTTAGCAAAATGTATTAAAATGAATTTGAGGCAAAAAAAATAAAACAGTTAGGATATCATCTTTTATGTACAGTAAATTTAGAACCAGAATGCAATGCGGTTCTAAGAACTATATGAGAAAATCTTTATTTTTACCATCGGGAATCTAAAGCGGGAAATGTGAAAAAAAAAAAAAAAAAAAAAAACACAGCTGATGTTAAGCATTCAGCATCTTAAAAAGTTGTAAACTTCACACCTTTCATTGACCTTTCTCATTTGCTTGAGGGAAATGGGTAAAGCTGGTTTTACATTAGCTGTTCAGGCAGGAGACCAACTTTCCTTAAGTGGGGGCAATCCAACTGAAAAAGTCAAGGCCAGATAAATGGTGTTGTGTTTGGCTGAGGTTTTTTTTTCTGTCTGTCTGTCTGTTTAGCCTGCCACACACACACACACACACACACATATATACAAAGAGGGAAAAAAGCCCACTATCTCAAGACCTTGTACTTGAGCCTTATCACCACAGCAGCACAGATGGTAACGTACCCTTGACAAAGACTCACATCATACTCCCAAACTTCTAGTGAATCTTTCTCACACTGTAGGTGCCTAAACATGTTCTCTCCTTGTTACATCTCCCAAAATAAAAACAAAAACAAACGTGTACATGAATATCTGCACAACTTGAATATATGGGAAATTACTTTTGATCACAATTTGTGCAATATAATGCTGATCCTGCTAGCTGTGTAAATCTGAACTATGATTACAACTTCAGACGTGTGCAAAAAAATCTCTAAAAAACTACAATAAAAACACTAACACATAATAATGAATACTTGAATTACTACAACTCATAAGTATACTAAATTTGAATATAAATAAGTTGCATATAAAATCCACAAATAAAACATAAACCATCAAATTTAATAATTTAATAATACAGCATATTGAATATTTAGTTCAGACGCAACTTCCCCCTGTCACCTTGTAGGGTCTTCTGCATATCTCCATATAAATAAAGCTGGGCCATCTGCCCTGCAATCCAATAATACTGCAAGTGTTTTTCCAGTAACATTGTGTTGCAAAGGGCCTTATTAAATTTATGTGGAAACGTGGCACAGCCAAACAATTCCAAAACAATCAATGGTGGCTATTGATCACATTTAAGAGAGGGATTTAAAAGAGCTCAAGCAGACAACAGCAGCATCAGTTTGTATATATCCAACATGAACGCCATAGCATGTTAATACAACTTGATTTCCTGCATGCATCATGTTGCATATGAATCTCTCCTCTCATTTCTTTTTTTTTTCTTTTGGGGGAGGTATGATAGGATGTTAAAAATGACACCTTACAGGACAGGGATTAACCATTTCCAGCTGGTGGAGATGTGTATACCATTAGTCTAACTCAATCAGGGAGCTAATTCAATCAAAGGCACAGTGGGCTGTCCTGACGTAGGGGCATCTGTTACACAGACTTCTCACTGAATCCTACGGTGACATTTAGCCACAACATTTAGCCTAACGTAGCCCTTCAAACAGCGTGAAGTTTGTCAGAGATGCGTAAATGTGCATGTTTTTTCACAGATTCCTTTGACCGATAAAAATGCCATTATTTCAGGCTGGATTTGACTTTTTTCCAGAAAATATCACTTCTTTTACAGACACAACGACAGCTCTCTGTCTTAGAAAGCCTTATTAGTGACTTTCCATTCAATCTGATCACGCTTTCTTCCAGCACATTTGAAGCCAGCTACTTGTAGTTCCTAGAAAAATTAAGTATTTCCCCTCACTATCAAAAACAGATCGAACTTTAAGCTTTTTTATTTTTTACATTTGCAAAATCTCCTCCTCTGCAAACATTAAATGTCTAAAAATATCAAACTCTTTATTATATCAACTTATAACTTTAGGTACACACATTTTTATAATTCCTTTATCTTTAATATCTACCTAAGCATATTTACTGTTTCAAAGTGTTTTCATTCAGAGGAAACATGATGCATATTTTTTTCTTCTTTCTTTCTTTTGTATAATATGGTTTAAGAATGCAAATTTACAATATTTTGCAAGTATTATATAGTTTAAAAACATACATTTCACCAACATAAAGGAATTTATGTATGTTGTGCAGAAGGACATGAAACATTTTTGCTTAAGTAACTAAATATGCTTACGTAGATGCAAAATATGCTCAAATTGTTTTGTTTTTTTAAAGTGTAAAACCCTTTTAATCCCTAATTTTTATGCGTGGATTTAGAGCGCAGAGGCCTATGGAAAGAAAACCCAACTGGCAGAAAGGTGAATCAGAGGCCAAAGGTTCATCAGCTCAAAGAGAGCCATGCTTTCAGGACAGAATGTGGTGGTTTAAGCTTATATTTAAGCTCTGAAATAATCGGACGTCCGACATACTTAGATATAAAATATAAAAAAAACTGACAAAAAAACAAAAAACCATAACAATGGTTTACATCCTCCTGAATCTACAAAGAAAACAATAGGTTGGAGAAAAGGCCAAAACTAAACAGCCACTTTATTACTTTTACACAAAGGCCAGTTTTTTTTATACTGACATGTCAAAATATAATATTCAAGTACGAAAAGAGTTATAATAAAGTACAGTGTGGTATAAAAAAAAAGTAACTAAGTCATATGCAAACTGAATGGCCTCATGGATTCCCTATTTCTTCCTAGAATATCCTTCCTGTGGTTTTGCAGTAATGGTTTATCCGTTCGGCACAAAAAAATCTTTTTGACTCTCTAGAGTCAAGAAAAACTGAACCATCTGTAACACACACATATATATAAGCAAACTTCTCTCTCTCACTTCCAAACACATATACTCCAGTCTTTGTAAAGGTAATGAATGTAGGTTCTCTCACCTTGCAGCTAGGGGGTTTTAGGGGTAGTCCAGAGGCAGGATTTCCTTGATGCTGAGTTGTATTAGTCTGCTGGGGTGAGTGGGAATCCTCAGACTCTTTTCCACTGTGGTAGACCACCCTATCAGAGATATGAATACTTGAAGCACAGCCCATGCTTCAAACCCACTTCAGCCTTTTTGTCTTTTTTTTTTTTTTTGTTGCACTAGTGCGTTACTTTGAGGCTACAGGAGTGTCATTTGCTCTCTCTCTCTCTCTGAAGGTCCACTCTTCCTCCAAAAGATTAAAATTTTCTCCAAAAATATATAAATATTTTTTTTCCTTCTACAAATGCATATGTGTTTACAACATCTAGGCCACAGGGAAGCCGGTTCTCCAGTTGCTCCAACATAAGGCATGAATAAAATATCTGTTTACCCCCCCACCCACCCCTCAACCAGGAAGCTGATTTCCTCTCTGTTTTTTTTTTGTGTTGTTTTTTCACATGAAGTTAATTGCAGAGTGAGTATTAAATGAAAGTAGCTGTCCTGAAAAAAACTTGGGTTCCGTTACGCTTCAGCTGCAAAGACCCCACCAATTGCACCCCTCACTCCTGCTCCTCTTCTCACCTTCAATTCGTACCACATCACCATTTTCTCAACACCTCCTCCTCCTCCTCCTCCCGCCCCCCTGAACTTCACTGCTGTCAGGTAGGCCTGAGACCCCCAACCCCCCCCTCTCCAGCTTTACGCATGAGTTTTATCCATTTTTTGTCTCCAAGGTTTCATGCGTGTTCGTCCTCCCCCACCTGGGAGCCATCAAAAATATTGCCTTTTATTTTATTTATTTATTTTTTTTATTCCTAAAGAGTCTGGTTGTCCACTTCAGCTCAACAGACGGGCCAGAAAAGCGATTCTCACGACACTTTGCCTCAGTCCTGAGCGGCTCATCATCAACAGGCTGAAATATTTACACTGCGGAGTGTTATTCTGGTCAGTCGCTCCCATGTCAAACACCCTCGGTGAAACACAAGGCCATGCAGCCCGACGGAGCGCTTCATTTGTCAGCCTCACAATTCACCAATTTAGGATCCTGCTGGATGGCTCGCAGTCTCCATTCAGGCATCCGCTCCCCCGGTGAAGGATGATCCGTCTGATTTAAAAGCTCCAACCCCGGCTGCAGTTCAGTTCGCTCCAGGCTCCGCGATCCTTCCTCTCATTCTGGCGCTTGACAAAAACAGATGGAGAGGCTGTTTGATTGTAATATGAAGATGTGCCACATCTGGAGAATGCAATCGCTTGAGAGAGAGAGGGAGAGAGAAAGAGAGAGAGAGAGACACTCAGAGGAAGAAAAAAAATCTTCAAAAAAAAGGAATGAAAAAAAAAGCGCTCCGTGTCCACAAGTTTCAGATGTTAAAAATCGGTGACGGCAGGGTTATTTTAGCCTGACGCGAGCGGACGTGAGGCGGGATCGAGCTACATAATGCTAATTTTAATGTTTGTCTTTTCTCTGCCTTTTCTGGCGTTTGCCCTTCCAATTCTTCAGCACTGCTTGACAGCGGCACATCCAATAAAAGCACCCGCAAGGATTGACCTACAGCCTTTACTGACGTTAATGCAAATGAGGCTCGCGCGGCCAATGGGAGGCGCGCGCTGCGCCGCTGGGTGGTTCCCCCCGCGCGCCGTGGGAACTTTGAAAGCAGGAAGAGCGCTCTTTAAGCACTGCTGCATTCACCGCCTTCACTTTTCTGCGATTTGTTTCCTCCTTTAAGGCTCTAAGATGTAGATCTTATGGGTTTAACATGAAATAACCTGCTGTAAAAAGCTGACTTCCAGCAAACGTTAAAAATAGGCACATTTTTGTTATTAAACAATATTTTAAAAGGGAAATGTTTTTGTTTGTAAGTTAGATTTTTTCTGCTGTACACTAATTGCTTTAATTTCATGTATTATTTCTTATATAAAACATTTTACCTCAATGCGTGTCCCCTTATTAAATAATAACCATTTCTAATGAATATCATAGTAATATTTTCTATTGTTCGTATTGATTAGAAGTGAAATTACTATTACCATGCATGATAACTACAGTATTAAAAACTCAAATTTCCTAAAAATCTTAATAATTGCCTTTATGCATACATTTCTGCATAAGCGCATTTTTATTTATCTTCCTTTTTTACTGATCAAAAAGAGTTTGGTTGTGTGGTGTATTATGGTTTGGATTTGAGGAATTATTTTTCTCAGCTCTATTTAATTAAGGACCGTTGTCAAGTTTTTTAATGTACTAGATATTAATGCAATATAAATAGTATTACTTAAATAAAAATATTTTAATTATTAAGATTATTTGGTTGACTTCACTGTTTTTGAATTAACCTAAGCCAGTAAAAACAGTTTTGCACATTTCTAACACATTTTTCTAACACATTTTAAAACTATAAACCACCCCCCACATGTCTTAACGAACAGCTTTTAAAAAACAGGAGAAAACTGAAAAAGTATAGGGCAAAATAAGTAGTCTAAGCCCAAAATTAAAACAATCCACATCAGATTAAAATATATACATATTTCGAAATATATTTACAAACACTTTGTAAAATTAATTGGAAACAAAATGAGCAATGGCCTGAAAGACAAAGTTTTGTCTCTAATTGCAAGAATGGCTTAAATAGCTTGAATGGAAAACAAGAAAGACCTTTGGAGAAGATAAATTTCTTATGCATTACTATATTACTGCCTCTTTTTTGCAGTAATTCTAAAAATGTCTGAAAATTAGCTCAATAAATGTGAACACATAATTTCTTTGCAAACAAGACAAACTCAACTGAATTGTTGTATAATGAACTCAGTCTGACTGTATCATGTTGCCATGTGCTGTCTTACCCAATTTACGTAATTTGCTTAATGTTCTGTTGTTGGATTCGCCTCTGTTAAAAGGAAAATTTATTAATTATAAATAAATATTAAAAGTGTACTATACATTTTGTTTATGGTTCAAATACTTTAATTTGGAATGCATGGACCTTAGTTGTTTTTTTTATTGTTATGCATTTAATAAAACAGCCTACTTACAGACTCCACTCCTCTATGAAGTATAGTATGTTTATGTAACAGATCAACTAGGCAGCCACATGCTGATTAGGACAATTCTGTGTTGATAAAGAAAGAAGCAGACTTTTTACTCCTTGTGCTATTCAGCATGACCTGATATCAGTCAACAGGCAACACGGAACAAGCCGGTAGTGATGCATGTAATGTGAATCATGGCTCCATTCTTGTTTGACATTTTTTACTCTGTTTATTTAATCTTTACACTTGTATTAATAAAAAACCTCTTTGTATGATTTAAAAAAAAAGGTTAAAAAACAATCCACTGGACTTTGTTTCCAAGTTTGAAGATGTTTTGCTTCCCATCCTGGAAGCTTTTTCAATTCAAAATGTCAGGAATAGCGTTGAGCTCAAGGTTTTATACAGTAGCACATCAAAACCTTGTTTTTGTTTTGCAAACATGCAAACTGACACTGAGGAATGGGTCCATGCCTTCGGAATGGGGGGAGTTTGGCTTCTTTTGTTACCCTGCAATGCCCTATACCCGTCTAAGTCTCTTTGTATGACTTTACTGCATTAAAGTGTTAATGTTCAGTTAAGGCAGTTAATCTGGTTTTATTGCAAAAAGACAAATAATGAGTCCTTTCAGCTGCTGCCATATTGAGTTTGTCACCAGAGCAAATCAGTACAACTTTCATGCTGATTTGGTAGTTTTTTTCATGCAACAGAGATGTGTGGGTTTCATGTGTGAGTTTCCTGTATCAAATACATGACTTATCCCGTATCACCACAGAGGGACTAGCTACATCAGGACCATAACTCTGTAATATTCTTTAAACCATTGATTTAACAACAATTAGCAATGCGGTTCTCTTCTTTTTCTTAATTGTAAGAAAAAGTTCAATGTACTGTAAACAGGGCCCTTTAGAACAACCTGCATTTGCTAAAAATACACACTGTGATTATTGTGTTTGTTAAATGCTTCTTTGTTAAAGAGGATTTTAGCATCAATGAATTGATCTGAATGTGAATTAGATCTCACATAAAATTTAATTTCCGCTGCTAAGTGGCTCATTGGGTAGCACTGCTGCCTTGCAGCAAGAAGGTTCCGGGTTTGATTTCCTGCCCGAGGTCTTTCTGCATGGAGTTTGCTAATTCTCCCTGTGCATGTGTGGGTTCTCTCCTGGTACTCCGGCTTCCTCCCACAGTCCAAAAACATGACTGTTAGGTTAACTGGCTTCTCTAAATTCTCCTTAGGTGTGAGTGTGTTGTTTGTTTGGTGTTGTTTGTTTGTCCTGTTTGTCTCTGTGTTGCCCTGCGATGGACTTTGACCTGTCCAGGGTGTGCCCCGCCTCTCACCGGTAGACAGCTGGAGGCACCAGCACCCTTCATGGTCCTGCGTGGGATAAGAGTCCATAAAATCTAAGATCTGCGACAGACAGTCGGCCTGTCCTGAGTATACCCAACCTTTCACCCAGAGCCTGGTGCTATTATTGAGTGGCCAAAACGGTGAACATTACAAAAGTCCAACTCAACAGTGATAGACTCACCAGATCTACCTACATAATGAAGTTCAGAGAGCAAATAGTACCTATAAATGATCAGAATCAGATTCAAATTTATTGCCAAGTAGGTTTGCACTCACAAGGAATTTGACTTGGTTCTGATGGTGCAGACAAAGTACATATATATGCAGAATACAAAATCTATAGCTGTATACAATCTAAAACATACAGTATACTTTAAACAATATATAGTATATGCCTATATATTATATACACAGTAGACTGTGTGTTAATGTAACGCAGAAGGTCTGGAGATGCTAAATTGGTGTAACTTCTATATCCTGAACGGGGTAGGGAGAGGGGCAGTGTCAATTGTCACAGGGGTCTCTGGGCCTTGTTGATAAGGCAGGTAGCAGATGGGAAAACTGTTCTTGTGGCGTGAGGTTTTAATCCTGATGTACCACAGCAGAAACAAAAGAGTGCGTACCTACCAGGCAGCCGTCCACTGCGCCATCTTAGATTGAAGCACTGGGTGGATTTGGGGAAAGATGCTGCAAAAGATTAGAAAGATATATGAAACATTAAAGGAATGTGTCTATGTGTTTCAACAGTTCAACAATTACTGAGTTTAAGAAATGTTTTAAAAAACAGTAGCTTCTGTTTGTAAAACCTTTGCTTTAAATATAACATTCTTTCTACTGTACTCTAGCAGTTAAAAGTGGGATCAAGCATCATCATATCCAGATGTCTGAACATTGTCATGTTCATCTGTTCAGCAGACACATGTCCAGTCATGATACGGTTCAGGATTGAGACCAGATATGGGTCCAAAATATGGATATCAACCCATTAGCACAATGATCTGTGGCCGCTTTGC